GGAAATGTGGACAAACTCAGTGACCCAATGGTAACGTGTTGGTCACGAATCCCGGGGTTTCAGAGTTCGACTCTCAGCCTGGTCGAGTGCGCACTGCTGAGGAGTCCGATACTAGGATGAGACAGCTGTCCGTCGCTTTCAGGTTTCAAATTATTATCATTTTATCACCTCGTGTGATATGTTTCTGCATCAGAACACTATCTGATGGACCAATACTATCTAGTTAGTCGAATCTTCAAGAATATCTAACAACGAAATATGGGATATGCGCATAACGTTATTCCGAAGCCATTAGTAAATATGCCCACATTTCAGCATGCTAGTATTTCCAGTAATGTTCGCAACAAGCATTGATAGCTTCAGACATGAAAGCATTATATTCTGGGCTGCCAGGTTGAGACAATCACTGTGTATGCAATTGATAATGTTCGATGGGCGATACTTTTCGCAAAATGATTTACTGGGTGGGAAGTGTTGAGATACACCGAATATTTAAATATCTCTTTCATTGTTGATGTTTAACAGACTGTTTGACAGTGAGGTTTGAGGTGTATGATTACTTGATGCTGTGAGTGCAGAAAGCATCCATATTCGTCGAAACGAAAATATGCTGAAATGATAAGTGCATAACAGCATCAAATATGATTCCTAGATGCTAATGAGAAAGTAATATCGGTGTCCACGGGACTGACAGTAAGACTGTAATGCCCAATAAGAGATGACCAATCAGAATAAAGAAAACAGTAAAGCAATTTTCTACAGTCAGTAACTATTTTTTTAACTTGAACAGCGGTGAATAAAGATGATGCACAACTGAATAACAAATTTAAAGATGAACAATGAGGAATCAAATTAAAATTCATCTTAGGTTTACAACTTTCTCAATTTTGACTAGTATCACGTTCCGAGCGTTAAGAACACATAGAAAAACATGGATAAACATATCCCTTTGCACATCGTTTATCTTATTTCGAAATATGTGCTGATATACAGTAATTATAATCTTCCGTGGTTGAATAGACAGAAAGGTTTCACCAATCCAGTATAATAATATTTCAAAATTATAGACACACAGAAAGACAAAATCAAAGTAAGACCTCCCACACAACTGCATCAACTCAAGATGCTACACTTCACAGTAAAATACCAAGAACAAGTCGATGGAAAAGGACTGATATCAAAGTAGATAAAGGTTTACGGAAGGAGAAGTAATTTGAAAATGAAGTTAAATGAAAATATTTAGTTTTCAGCCATGTCACCAACAGTTTTCAACCACTGATTCCTATCGTTTCGAGGACCCCAGCCAGACAGTCTACATCCAACCAACACAGTTTAGACCAATAGTCAGAGACTTCATCGATTGGTCCGATGTCTTGGTCTGGCCACTCTGAACCCTCTTCCAACCTAATCCAACTCCTTCTAACATGGCACATCAAGTTAGACAATGGATCGGCATGCGCAGTACATATCCAAGCCATTTCAGTTGAATAAGGTTTACAATCTTATCAATCGACTTGCCTGTTTTGCCTAGTACCCTTCGTCTGACGTCAACATTGGTCACATGGCGATTCCACGAAACGCGAAAAATGCTACGACGACATCTATAGCCACAAACCAGTAGTCTCATCATAACTTCTGCTTCTAACGGCCATGCTATTTGCGTAATACAGAATAAGCAATGCGAAATAAGGTGAAATCGCATCTTATACTGGTATTTGCCTTACATGATTATACAGACATATAAAATAAAACAAAAAAGTCAAAAAAGGAAACAATCCTATTCACAATTTACCATTTCTATTATTTTGTGGAAACATGGTGCTTATACTGTTATGATTGGTCAATGCATTGAGAAATAACGTGAACTTTATTTGGAAAACCGGAATGACTCATCCATGTGTCTATTCTAGGGTTTGCCTGTATGATAAACAAAAGAAACTCTGCATTTCCTTCTTCCACTGGTGTCTATTTTGCTTTACACAAAACTATAAAGAAAGAGAACATCAATTTCATCATTAGGCGAACTGAATTACGATCGGAACAGGCTGGCTTCATCAAAAACAAATCATGTGTGCATCAAATTGAAACCATGCACCACGCATCATCATAGAAAACAGTATACAATGGATGTCGACTCTCCACCTCAACTTCATCCACTCTGAAAACACATTCGATCGAGGCATCGACCAAGAAGAGTAATTTGACAGGCAGCTACTTCAAAACTATGCTTTCAGTAACACAAACCTTTATCAACATCATTCAACAGCTAGATGCTATGCTATATCATGCTACATGTCAAATGATTTCACAATGGAAAGCTAAGTGATCCCTTTGAAGAGAAGTGAAGACAGGAAGGAGTAAGACCAGCTTCCCACCTACTATCACCGATCATCTTCCAGATTGTGGTCGACTGCACTGGACTGAGCTAGATCATGGAACAGACAACTATGAGGAGCAACAAGATGAGCATACGCTGGCTCCACCGATGAAAACACCCCAGTAGAAGATTTCAATCTCGCCCATGATGCATTATCTCCAATGTCATGTCGCACAAACTCGAACATTCACTGGCGAAAAATAACCAGTTATCAGAACAGGAAGCGAAAGAGCATAGAACTTCAATATAACGTAAAGAAGACACAGGTGATGAAGATAACCAACAGGACAACCAACAACAACAACAACAACACAAACACCAATCAACATCAATAAGAGAAATCGAAACCAAGTTGTCTCTATCAACTACAGGTAGAGGTATCAGTGGCGGCACACATGACGATGTCAAAACCACCATCGGAAAGACTGCGAAACACACCTTTATTCATCAATCTGAAATCAGTGTGGACATCTACTCCACCGCACTCCAATCCACTAACCATAAAGCGTGAACAACATCCGATTTCTCAACACTACTAATGTCAGTCAAGTGAGTCAGTACTTCTATGTGATGGTTGAGAGACTTGGCGGCGCGTTACAAAAAGCATTTCCAACAACCTACACACACACACACACACACACACACATCACATCAACAGTTGCCACCTACACTCGCTCACTCAATACTGACACTGAAGATCAGATCAGATCAGGTGGCCAGAATAATAAGAATCAGCAACGAGTAACTCTGGCTGGATGGCTGGTTGGCGACGAAGCAACCAACAACCTATCGCCCAACAAATGTGCGTGAGAAGAAAGTGGAGATGGATTGGGTTGGGTTGGGTTGTGTTGTGTTGGACTGGACATACAGTGTGAAGAGGGTTTGGAGACATGGTGTGTCAGGCCAGGCCAGGCCAGGGCAGGACAGGCGAGGCGAGGCCGTCGAGTGGAAGCCAAGTGGGAAACGACGGGTTGTGCGTCGTAGGCGAGGGTGACGTGTAGGAGATGATGTGAGGAGGAAATCAAAGGTGGTGGGCAGTCGTGGAGCTAGGTTGAGAGGACTGTAGAGAACAGAGTGAAATGGCGACGTACTACTGAAGCTTTATGTTTCACTAGGAGCCCAACGGATAAATGATAAAATAATAGTAATTGAAACTTGAAGTAATTTCCTCATGTTCTATACTTTCAATGAAGTGGTTGCAGGTTTTCGATTACCGGTGTCTTCATACAACTGCTTGCGTTTCATGGAATCACCATGTGACCAATGTTGACGTCAGACGAAGGGTACTAGGCAAAACAGGCAAGTCGATTGATAAGATTGTAAACCTTATTCAACTGAAATGGCTTGGATATGTACTGCGCATGCCGATCCATTGTCTAACTTGATGTGCCATGTTAGAAGGAGTTGGATTAGGTTGGAAGAGGGTTCAGAGTGGCCAGACCAAGACATCGGACCAATCGATGAAGTCTCTGACTATTGGTCTAAACTGTGTTGGTTGGATGTAGACTGTCTGGCTGGGGTCCTCGAAACGATAGGAATCAGTGGTTGAAAACTGTTGGTGACATGGCTGAAAACTAAATATTTTCATTTAACTTCATTTTCAAATTACTTCTCCTTCCGTAAACCTTTATCTACTTTGATATCAGTCCTTTTCCATCGACTTGTTCTTGGTATTTTACTGTGAAGTGTAGCATCTTGAGTTGATGCAGTTGTGTGGGAGGTCCTACGTTGACTTGGTCTGTCTGTCTGAGTTTCAATGATAACTCATAGCTGCTATAACAAGACAAAGAGAACTGCAGAGCAGTATACTCGTCCTTTAATGTACAATCGGATGTCACCAGTTACCGCCACAAATGATGGAAATGGGCGATTCTCAAACACACTTTTTTATCCTAGCTGAGCTTCTAACCACAACCAGCCCATTCAGGTTGGTGCATCTCCCCAAGTAAACGAATTGCTGAATGCATTCTACTACCTCACCTGGTATTCTTAGGTTGAAAGTTGATAGAAACGACTTTCGAAGCATCATCTTACGTTGACTGGTATGAAACGCATGCTAAACATACAGTTCTCTTCGAGGGATGCAGAACAGTCTACATTTTACCAGTTTTCTCAATTAACAGGAATATGTCATCAACGTACCCTAGGTTAACCAAGTCCACGTCTAGGAGTAAGTCAATCACTGAAAAGTTGTATTTCCATACGCAATTGATTCAGGACCACTAACTAACTGGTCACATATTTGTTTGAGATTGTGAGATACATTTGTCGATTAACGACGTAACATAATACGCTATCCTAATATCCACAGTAACCATGTACTGGTTCGCCTAGTAAATTATAATTGAAACCTAATTCCATGGAAGTCAATGACGATACCTGACCCCCAAAAACGTTGGTGTACAGAGCTTCATTCGTACCTTATGTTAACCAGTCGAAATGCAGAACGCCTAATTCAATAAACAACAGCTTCACTTCTTAATAAGTAAGAACTAACTATCGAGGCGATCGAGAGAAATTCAATGAAGTAAGAGCTGATATCGAATCATAGTTACTAAAGTGTACAGTAATTCAATCATTATAACGCAACAAATATAAAGAAAAGGAAGGAAACTACACTCACTTGATCATAAACTGGATCATCACGAGAACGACCTAAACCATTCGATTTCTTCGTCAGTGTTTTCTTAGCTTTTCCCAACACAGGTGATGATGTCGTCAGCTGTGAATGTTCTTTATCGGACAAATCTTCTAAAGAAATATTCATATGGTGATTCGATTGTTCATCCACTTCTTCAACACACAAACTATCATTACTACTATTACTAGTACTATGTATACGTTCACTACCGATCAGATTAGGAATTGGTGCATCTGACGTTGGTAATGACGGTAAAGGACCCTTTCGATGAGAGACCACGAAATCATTCAATTGTTGTTTTTGATGATGCTGTTGAAGTCGATTATGATGTTCAGTAGCATTAAAGTAATCTGTATATGAATGTTGTGATTTTCTTACTTCAGCAGAGGATATTTCCACAGTATTTACATGTGTTAATGGTAGAAATAAAGGAAGCAGGCGTACAGATGCTTCTGTTAAGACATCAAGTGTTAATGTATGAAATTCAATGGTAGACAAACGGCCTAATTTTTGACGTGCTTGATTACGTATCGATGAATAGGTTGTATTTGGAGGTAGAAAAAATAAAGTTAGATTGGTAGCAGGTGAAGTAGTAGTAGATGTTTGACTTAATGTTACTTTATGCGGAGGCGGTGTTGGCACACATGTAAATTCCTTAGACGTTACACCAGTTTGTAATACTCCATCTTCATTATGACAACCATTGAATACTGTATAGTTGTTTAAATGCTTTAAATCTTTAAAAGTGTCAGGATTTTCGAGGAATGAATTGGTTAAACGACGATCCGCTTCATCATATACATCAATGCAAAGATCCTGAAAAAAAAGGGCCGAAGTAGTCTTTTTCATCAACAAGAAAATACAATCTAATAATTATCAAAATCCAGGAGTATTAAAATTAAAAATTGTGAAAAATAATTGCATACTGCGAAATAAGTTGCCTTTCATGGTGGATTTCATAGAAAACTACAACTTTTTAACTTCTAAACTAAGCAATATGATGATACGAACAATTTTAAGAGTAAATCCAGTGACCGTATCTTTCACGAGTCTTCCATAGAGGTAAGGCAACAACGACAATTCTAGCTTGAAACGGCATACCGGATACAAGGTCGAAACCAGGGCTTCAAAGTCTAACAATGAAGATATAACCATTCGAATAGTGAGTTGGTATATCCAATAGTACACACGTTCAAACGGTATCCAATCTGTTATGTAATATAACTACCGTTTACTGTTCATAATCAGTAATTCTTTTTTCCACTGCAAAACTGGTTGGCACACCTTGCCTTATGACTTCCCATTGTAATTACGAACGAGACATCCTTTGTGTAATCATGTCACTTATGAATTTTTTCAAAAACAAAATTGGTAGACCATAAGCACCCAAAAAATGTGCAACAAAATTCATATAGCAACTCAGTAACCAACCTCAATGAACATACTGAGCTATAGTGAAATTGGACATTTTGACGTCAATCATCTTGAAGAGGCCTGAAAATATCTACAGTCACTGGTAAAAGACTAATCATGAGGTAATTTTTCCCATTGAGGGTTGTACCTGAAAAGTACATCACCTTACTGAAGGTCCTATATTCATATGCGCATGATTGTGTTGGAGTCCACAGTGAGCTAAAAGGTAATTTGTTTACGTTTAGCACTGTCTGTAAAGGTCTCTCATTCGACTTAACTTCCACATGTACGTGCTCATTGACGTCTACACCCTCTTCTGACCAACATGGGTCAACAACTATTCAGGAGATTTCTTAGAAGACCTAGAGAATGATATAGTCCCGTGTCATAAGGACGCCAATAAAATGCGGTCTTTTGAACAAGGTGAATAAGAATTTGAAGGTGTCTGAAATGCTTTCCTGACCTCGCAAATATAACCTGTTGCTTGAGAACTCGTTTGAGTTAATACCCAGTTTGACAACAGGGGATGATGTGGTTGACCACGTTGATAAAATCACTTTTGAGAAGTCAGGTCAAACATGGTGGGTTGAGGGATGACTCAATCTAGCATGGATATAAAGGTTTGATTGCCTTTTGGGAACTTAGCCCACTTATTGAAGCGGTGAGACATCCAAATATGTACTAAGGATTGAGTATATTGCGAAACAGGTCACTTCATCTTAATTTACGGCTGTGAAAATGTCGATGTAGAACGATATGAGAAGGCTCTAAGTAATCAATCACTGTCGCCTTCATAGCATTGGCCATTTGGTTGAGGGGTTATTACAAGCGTAACACAGTTACTAGATATGCAGTTTTAGCTAAAAGAGATGAGTTTACGAGGGAACACCTAAAAGTGGCCAAACGGGAAAAGTCTCTCCACGACATCTGACCCTGGTGGGGTGGTCATGAGTGCGCACTGCTGAAGAGTCCCAGATTGGGATGAAACAGCTATCTAGTGCTTCCATGGTCTTACTGGTTTTCTAACCGCTGTCAGTCAGTGTGTGATGAATACCATCCGAAGTCAATAAATCCCTACAAAATGATTTCAGTTTATGAGGTTGCACAACTTTATCGACTCAGATGCCTAGGACATGCGTTGAGCACACCTAGCTACTTACTGTTTTTCATTGTCATGATAGCTGAAGTATGATTAGGCTGAGAAGAGTACATAGAGAGATAGATAGACTAAAATGTGGCATCAGTAGATGACATGATGCATCCTAACTTTATTCTCAACTTAGCCGTAATTTTACAATTCACTGTTTGCTTTATTCCCTCTCTTATTCCTCATGGCCTCGGAAAACTTTCGATTTCATCACTTCTGTTTCTCTGGCTTGGAACATTAGACAGAAATGTCAAATCTCATGTTGATAACACATGGCTAAACGCCTTAATATCTCAGGTCGAGGTGTGAATCTAGGAGTCGTTGCTTAAAAGTTGATCACTGAAACAAATATTTCACGGTTACGATCATGCATGGATATTATTAATATTTGTCCTTTAGGTTCCTAGTGAAACATATGGCTTCGGTAACACTTCGCCATTTCACTCTGTTCTCTACAATCCTATTGACCTAGCTCCACGACTGCCCACCACTTTTCATTTCTTCCTCACATCATCTCCTACACGTCACCCTCGCCTACGACGCACAACCCGTCGTTTCCCATTTGGCTTCCACTCGACGGCCTCGCCTGTCCTGCCCTGACACACCATGTCTCAATACCATCTTCACACTGTTTGTCCAGTCCAACACAACACAACCCAACCCAACCCAATCCATCTCCACTTTCTTCTCACGCACATTTGTTGGGCGATAGGTTGTTGGTTGCTTCGTCGCCAACCAGCCATCCAGCCAGAGTTACTCGTTGCTGATTCTTATTATTCTGGCCACCTGATCTGATCTGATCTGATCTTCAGTGTCAGTATTGAGTGAGCGAGTGTAGGTGGCAACTGTTGATGTGATGTGTGTGTGTGTGTGTGTGTGTGTGTAGGTTGTTGGAAATGCTTTTTGTAACGCGCCGCCAAGTCTCTCAACCATCACATACAAGTACTGACTCACTTGACTGACATTAGTAGTGTTGAGAAATCGGATGTTGTTCACGCTTTATGGTTAGTGGATTGGAGTGCGGTGGAGTAGATGTCCACACTGATTTCAGATTGATGAATAAAGGTGTGTTTCGCAGTCTTTCCGATGGTGGTTTTGACATCGTCATGTGTGCCGCCACTGATACCTCTACCTGTAGTTGATAGAGACAACTTGGTTTCGATTTCTCTTATTGATGTTGATTGTTGTTTGTGTTGTTATTGTTGGTTGGTTATCTTCATCACCTGTGTCTTTTCTACGTTCATTTGAAGGAAGTCCCGTCTTCCTTCGCTGCCTCGCGTCTTTTGTCAACGTTTTGCTTTCGGCATGAATATAGAAATGGTCAATTAAATGACATTAGAAAAGACTGATTATGTGTGTGTGTGTGTATGTGTATGTGCAGTGTATTCTTCATCAACATGAAATTTATCAAACCGATGGATTGACTACTTCATGAAATATCACTCATGAATAGTAGGGTTATTAATTTCACGATTTTATTATTATTTCTTCATCTTCAATACCTTACTTCAAACATTTCGTACAAGGCGTTATTTTATTCAACAAATATTGTATTATTGTTTGTTTTATTTTACACTTTCAACATTCAATGTCAGGGTGACTTTTCAAATGGATAGTATAAAGATGATTTGTTTGAATCCACTTTTCCAGTGTTCAGCAGATGAAAACTTATTTTTCGCATGCTATTTACTCAAACAAAAGACAAGTTTTAAAGGAAAAGAAATGTCGGCAACAATAACAAGCACACTTTAGTTTCTTTCCCCTTTTTCTACTCTGAATTAGTCAACACTTATTTTTATCAATTACCATTGTTGTGAAATGTATGCGTTAGTTACGCAAAATTTGTATCAATGAAATGAACATTCTTGCTAAGTGAAAAGAAAAAACTTGAGGGAAGAGTGATGATAATGACTAGTAATAATACATTTTTCTAATTTCTCCCTCCTCTTCCCTCTAATCAGCTAGGTGAATCATGCCATTATTACTACTGCAACTGGATAAAAGAGCAAACATTATATAACAGACTACTTAGTGCCTAGCAGTGGACTTCAGTATGCACATTTCGTCCAATTTTGGGAACCTGTAATTAGATATACCTGTACCTCAGTGAGTGATATTATTCTTACTGAGATTTGAACCTAGTACCTATTGCTTCAGATACAAAAGCGCTAACCACAAGACCAGTAAGGCACGGGAGCTATATCTTGTGTAACGGGAATCATTTGTTGTTTGTTGATACTTGTAATTTTTCGTCTTTATATTGGGTCAAATTGGTCTACCTCCATCGGTATATGGACTCTAATGAGGATGCCTCGATACTGCCCGGATATTCATCATATTGTAGTCTTCTTGAAGGCTAGCAAAAGAATCCAGGACCCAGGTTTCGTTCTATTTAGGAATCGTCAACTGCACACACCTACCTCCCAGTGAGTGTTGTTCTTGGTAAGACCAAAAACCAGGAAAAATCACTTCAAACACCACAGTGTTATCCGCTAGGACTATTGGGTCACGATAGCCATTTATTGTGCAACGAGTAAAGCATACAAAAAAAGGTAATCAAGCGACTGTGGACATTGAGGTGTGAGCTCTTAAAATTACGGGATCATAATACTGCCATTTGATAATCAAAAAAAGGTTTGATTAAATATCCAAAATAATGAAATAAATTAAAATCTTCCCAATCCGCAATCAATGTTTTAGCTGACGGAAACTTGAAAAAATTGAAAACCCGATTTTAAAATTGTGGGAAAGATTTGTAGTTAGAGATGATGGTTTTGTGTTTTATAAACTTTAATTTTTGTCATCAGCATTTAACTGTATTGGGTTTGTTTATTTCTAGTCTTTTCTCTGAGTTTATTATTATTATTATCTTTTACTGAATGATTTCCTGCTGCCACTTGGCTGATGATAATATTATAATGTGCAGCTCGTGTCTTAGTAATCACAACGATAAAACGTAGGAAAAGCTTAGCATTTTTAATCAAAACAGTACCATAGGGGAAAATGTTTGAAATGTTCAAGCACATTAAACAGTTAGGTATGGTTCTAAATGTTCCGAGAACCTAACATTTCGACCTGAACGTGTTTTTCATTGTGTGGAAGGTAATCATGTATCTATCTTGCTAGGTGGATTGTTGAGAAATCCAGTAATCGTAATCGTACACTGGATGCCACAAGTGGACACCTGTGGTTGCAATATGATGCATAAGATTGCTGGTTATGCACGGCAGAGTATGCATCGGTTTTCTCAACTGCGGATACTTGTCTACCAATATGTGATAGAACGAGTCGACTGAATGATCCATTCTAACTATAGTTAAACTCGAACCTATGTAGGCGGTTTCGACAATATGTAATTTCGTGTTGTTATCTATCAGTCGTTGGCGACGGGTATCTACAAGTAGGTTATAATGGTTCAGCGAATCCATACTAATTATGGGCAACATCAACTAGAAGAAATATCCAGTGGATAGGTTTACAAACTTAGTGCCAAGGATACCACCAAGCATGGTGATGAAAAGTCCACGAGAAAATATCAGAGCCAAGAAAACATCAAACTACAACCAAAACTCCATTTGAAATTTTCAAGTATTAATTAATACAAGGGAATACATCTTGTGAGAAAACAAGATATAGTCAAATACATCATTTGGCATGAATATTGACTAACTACCTTCCATTTGAAACCGTAGAAAAGTTATAGTCAGTTACTGAGTCAGTCTAAAATGAATGTGATAAATCTGGTCTTAAACACTGAAAAGGTTCGAAAGAAGAACTGACACTACTGCAGTGCATACTATCCAGGAGACTCGAAAGAGAACAATTTTGATTGACTTGTTATGACAAGAATCATGACAGATATTCATTTCTCAAAGTGAATTAAAATTTGAACGAATAGTCTAATAATTTAACATTTAATTCGATCCCACTATTATTGAAACCTTTCCTAATCCTCTAGTGACAATAATGCAAAAATGCTCCTAATAGACTTGAACACACTGAAGGGTAAAATCACATCCTATTAACAAGTTTCAAATAAGACCGAATCCATGTCATGATTCTATTACTCCCCAGTCATTAAGAGAATTACACCAAAACTAAAATCAAGGCAACTGTTAGCAATAGACTAATGAAATTAACACGAGGGAATTATAAGAGTAGGGGCAACTAATATCTGAGTTTACAACGTGGATGCCAACTGACAAGAATAAGTGAGTTAACCAAATATTCGAACAGATCGTTGATCTATATTTCGAGCATACGCTGGCTCGACCGATGAAAAGACCCCGGCAGAAGATTTGAATCTCGCCCATGATGCATTATTTCGTTCACTTACACTTGACCACCAAAGTATAACAGACTCTGGCAACCACTAGAACTTATCCAGAAAGAAATGAATAGTGTACTTTAATCACCCTGCTGAGTTGAATTCTCCTTGATAAAATGAATACCACTTTCGACTGCTGTCGCCTTTATTTCTTTGTCTTTGATTTTAGTGCATTCTGAATTGATGGGTTGATATGATGTGTGATAACTTGGAGCATTACACATTAATGTCATGTCCATACTGTCTTTCTGTTTAACTGGTTAGACCAACATTGAGAGACTTTATGCACTGCGGTCATGTCTTTATCTGACCAGCAGAGGGTATCATCACTCCAACCTAATCCTATTTCAATTCATATAGAATGTCAACAACACAGACAAATTTGTCTAAAGCTCCATAAACTCTTCAAAAGTTATTGCTGCGAAATTTTCAGACTCAATGTGCACTACTAGGCGAGACTAGATTAGGTTGTGAGATGTGTCAGGTTGGCCAGACCAAGACATGGTACCAGTCTATGAAGTCCCTGACTGTTGGTATGAGCCGTCTAAGCAGATGTAGACTATCTGACTAGGGTCCCCAAAAAGATAAGAGTCAGTGGTTGGAAAATCTTGGTGACACGACTAAAAATCCGTTATAATGGCTTGGATGTATTCATTTTTTGAAGTCTTCTAAAGCTGAAGTATTTGCACTAACCGTTACTTTCCAATTGTTTAGTTTCTCACATAACTTTCCCTGCTTTGATATTGATCTTTTTTTTTATCAATCTGTTCTTTTTATATTACCTAAGCTGTCGCCAGGAAAAACAAATCATGTATGCATCAAATTGAAACCATGCACCACGCATCATCATAGAAAACAGTATACAATGGATGTCGACTCTCCACCTCAACTTCATCCACTCTGAAAACACATTCGATCGAGGCATCGACCAAGAAGAGTAATTTGACAGGCAGCTACTTCAAAACTACGCTTTCAGTACCACAAACCTTTACCAACATCATTCAACAGCTAGATGCTATGCTATATCATGCTACATGTCAAATGATTTCACAATGGAAAGCTAAGTGATCCCTTTGAAGAGAAGTGAAGACAGGAAGGAGTAAGACCAGCTTCCCACCTACTATCACCGATCATCTTCCAGATTGTGGTCGACTGCACTGGACTGAACTAGATCATGGAACAGACAACTATGAGGAGCAACAAGATGAGCATACGCTGGCTCCACCGATGAAAACACCCCGGTAGAAGATTTCAATCTCGCCCATGATGCATTATCTCCAATGTCATGTCGCACAAACTCGAACATTCACTGGCGAAAAATAACCAGTTATCAGAACAGGAAGCGAAAGAGCATAGAACTTCAATATAACGTAAAGAAGACACAGGTGATGAAGATAACCAACAGGACAACCAACAACAACAACAACAACACAAACACCAATCAACATCAATAAGAGAAATCGAAACCAAGTTGTCTCTATCAACTACAGGTAGAGGTATCAGTGGCGGCACACATGACAATGTCAAAACCACCATCGGAAAGACTGCGAAACACACCTTTATTCATCAATCTGAAATCAGTGTGGACATCTACTCCACCGCACTCCAATCCACTAACCATAAAGCGTGAACAACATCCGATTTCTCAACACTACTAATGTCAGTCAAGTGAGTCAGTACTTGTATGTGATGGTTGAGAGACTTGGCGGCGCGTTACAAAAAGCATTTCCAACAACCTACACACACACACACACACACATCACATCAACAGTTGCCACCTACACTCGCTCACTCAATACTGACACTGAAGATCAGATCAGATCAGGTGGCCAGAATAATAAGAATCAGCAACGAGTAACTCTGGCTGGATGGCTGGTTGGCGACGAAGCAACCAACAACCTATCGCCCAACAAATGTGCGTGAGAAGAAAGTGGAGATGGATTGTGTTGGGTTGGACTGGACATACAGTGTGAGGAGGGTTTTGAGACATGGTGTGTCAGGCCAGGCCAGGCCAGGGCAGGGCAGGCGAGGCCGTCGAGTGGAAGCCAAATGGGAAACGACGGGTTGTGCGTCGTAGGCGAGGATGACATGTAGGAGATGATGTGAGGAGGAAATGAAAAGTGGTGGGCAGTCGTGGAGCTAGGTCAATAGGATTGTAGAGAACAGAGTGAAATGGCGAAGTGTTACCGAAGCCATATGTTGCACTAGGAACCTAAAGAACAAATAATAATAATAAAATATTATTGTGAAGTGTGGTAACTTGAGTCGATGGTCTTGTGTGTGAGGTTTTGCGCTGATGTTGTCTGTCTGCCAGACTCTACAACGAAGATGCCAGTCACACATACACAGTCTATTTCTAATTATGTTATATCAAAATCTACCGTCGAGATATTTCAAAAGTTCATCATCGTCAAGGAGTGATGAAAATACATATGTAATTCAGACGAACTTCAAACAAAAGTCAGATGATTTTTATAGTGGAAAATCACTAATCTGGTGGTCATGGACTGCTGAAGAGTGGCATACTAGGACGTAACAGCTGTCTAGTGCTCTTAGGTTTCCAATGTTTCTCCAATCGATGTGAGACTACGATGAATATCAACTTGAAATCAAAATATACTGTCTCTTCGATAAATTCCTCGTCACATTCTACAGTATTATTTCCATATTGCTGAATCCTAGAATAAATGTATATGAAGAGCAATGTGATTTATTTTACAGTACTCAACTGTGAATAAAAGAGAACAGTTCAGGGATTTTCCTCAAAAAACACATGTGAATGACAATGTCAATGAACACTATAAATTTTTTACCCAAAGAGTTTATAAAACTTTATTGTAATAAAGTAGACAACGAACATAGTCAACCCTAGAGAGTTTACTTTGATAGTATGTCCTGCTTTATAGCCTGTAGAGTATTTGTGATAATGCATAAAAAGGATTAGCGCTTAAAAACGACCTCAGTGATAATGCATAGTTTAAAGCTATTTAAAATCGAAGTCACATTCGTGCTGTAGTCTAATGATACTACCTAGTTGCTCAAACCTCGATAGGCTGAACGGGATTCGAACCCATGATCAACTGGTTAAAAGTAATTTTCCTAAACTAATGAGCCACAGCTCCATGTTTTACAAAGAAACTCTTGGAAAAAGATGTCCCAAAACTTATTTGCCAGACATTGCGATAACCAGACAACATGGTTACTGAAAGCTCTCTGTCTATTTATTTCACTCTTATGTGCCACTGACAATGATACGTAGTTTAGCGCTGAAGCATTCGATAGAGGGAATATAGTGGGGAAAAAGTTAGAAATGATCAAATCAAGACATAGTGTCAATTTATACAGCCTTCCGTTATTAGTTGAAGTTATATAGGGAAATGAAAACTTTTCAGCTGAGGAGTGATCCACTTCTTTTTTGTGTACCATTGTAAAATATGGCTAATTGGATTGATGAACTTCTTTTTGTAAAGAGTTCTACATCGATTTGCATAGCTTTCTGAACTGGACAGCTACATTACTAACTAAGAGTATTGATGATATTCATCGAGTGGTGTCCGTCAAGGATGCCCACTATCTCCATTCTTATTTGATTTTATCATAGATATACTTATGGAGGTTTCCCTCTCGTCACCTAATTACACAGACATTGACCTAATCACAGGTGAATTTTCGTTAGACCTAGAATATGCAGATGACATAGTCCTGTTAGGTGAAGACGCTGACAAGATGCAGAGTCTTCTGAACATTTTGAATGGGAATTTGAGAGTGTTTGGGATGCGGTTTTCACCACCCAAATCCAAGTGTTTGCTCCAGGACTGGTCTTCATTTCTCCTTTAAACATTACCTTATATCAATTAATAGTATATAAAAACAACGATGATAAGAAGAAACATATTACAATAACTTACACTAAAAGCTAAATTCGACAATTTACTCAATCTTTCTCTCGCTTCAATAATCCAATCTTCTTGATCACTTTTCTGTTTGACATAAAAGCTGGTAGGAGTAGCAAGCCCAGATGTTAAATTCGTTGATTTTGGAGCCACTGGTATACCATTCGATTCATGTATTAATGAAGTTGAAATTAAAAAATGACCATTTGTAATGCCACCATTAACAGTATTATCATGATTACAACTACTTGATATAAATGAGTCTGGAGACTTTACAGATTCGACTGTATTGGATAAATTAGCATTTGCCGATGTATTTCTACTCATGTCATTATTATGTAAGCCAAAGAAAGCAGCCTTATGATCTGGTATATGACGTGTTAAAAAGTAAGCTAAACTATCTGTTAAATCATAGTAGGCTGAGACAAGAACATCAACCATCGACGACCAGGCTAGTTGTAATTTTTCTTCACGTCGCATCAATTTCATAACATCTTTTGGATTCATTGATTCATTCAATGCTAATGCTTTGTCCAACGCTAACTGAGAAAAATAAAATAAAAAAATAACTAGTGAAAATAAAAAATTATTTGATTGTACGTATATATATATATATATATATATATATATATCCTTAAAGAAAAGATTTTAAACTCTACTCAAATGAACAGGCAAGAAGTTCTGGGCAACAGTTAACCTTGCCCCGAGACCTAAAAGTCCTCAGTTCGACCCCTGCCAAGGTAGTGGGTGTGTACCTCTGATGATTCCCATACTAAGACGAAACAGTTATTTAGCGTTTTCAGGTTTCCAATGTTTGTCCAAATGATATCAGTCTCTGATGAATACTACCTTGAAATAAGTAAATCCCTACAAACCTTAGACTGAAATACAAACATATCAACAGAATATTTCAACTATGTAACTGTATTGTAAAAGTGACTTCATGCTTTGTAGATAAGTATATCATAGTCAGATCCACTCAATGTTATCTCTCCATAATCTTTGACATTGTCTGTTTCATAGTTGTTTCATATGTTCTGAGTTTAATTGGAATATTTCACCGAGGAAGTGTTAGGGCTGATAATTTCACCAAGTCGGTTGAAGAAACACCAGCGATTATCACCATTATAAGAACTTCTACAACCTGATGAGACTATCTAGTTGATTAAATGATATTCTGAACACTAAAACCACCATCATCCAACAAATCTTTTCCATCACATGTACCTAAACATGGTTACACTTGTACTAGATTCAATTAAAAAGTAAAATATATCGAGAATATCACCATTGAACAAACACTCGATAAACAATAACATGATTAATTTGTAAATGTTTCCTTGTTTGGTGCTATCCAGTACTAAGTACACAAACTAAGTTCCCTTACATCGTTATCTGAACACAAGTGTGCATGTGTGTGCGCGGGAGCATGTGTAACTAACTGATCGATGAAAGGGTGAAAAAAAAATGAAAAACAGAATTATTTCTGGATGGACAAAATAAGGATAATGATGGTGATAAAGAGGGAAATGAGTGTAGGTAAATCTGGTATATTGTGTGTACCTTCACTTATACGCGTGTATACATGGGTGTGTATATCCAAGATATAATTAGCTGAGAAAAAGAAGTCTGTTAAGTCAATACAATACAATACAAGCAGAAAAAAAACTTAATTACTTTTGAAGGTAGTATTCATCACAGACTGACATCAATTAGGGAAACACTGAAAACGTGGTAGCACAGGACAACTGTGTCGTCGCATTATATCGTGAATTGACAGAAGTTGGAAACTGTAAACCACTGAGAACCGACCCCGATGGCTGAGTAAGTAACAGGGTTCGCCGTGAAACCTGAAGGTCCCGGGTCCGATCCCTACCCCGCGTCGCGGGTGTGTACTGCTGAGGAGTCCTATATCAAGGCGAAACAGCTGTCCAGTGTTCCCAGGTTTTCAATGGTTCCCCAAGTGATGTCAATCCGTGATGAATAATACCTCTAAAAATTAAAATCCCCATTCATCTTAAAAATAAAATACTTCTGTTCACTTCACAATAGGAATAATAAAATATAATCTAATGACCTAGAAGAATGGAGGAAAAAAGCAACAAATGAAAAACTATACATTAGAACGTGTATATTTCTAAAGTTGATAAGTTGATGTGAGAGATAAACTAGGAAATCAATGCAGAATCCGAAAAAGAAGTGTATCAACCTAAGTTGTCACACTTTACGGAGGCATTTAAAGAACAAATGGATAAAAAGTGATACTAAGCACGAGAAAAGTTTTTAAAAGTTAAGATTATCTATAAATGAACTTTAAGGAAAATATTTAAAGACGACGAAGAGTGTACATATTTTTAGTATTGTGAACAATTTTGAACCATGTCACTTCAACTACTATCATTTCGATGACCCTAGTCAGGAAGTCTACACCTCTCTGTGTAAGAGTGATATAATAAGATGAAACAAAATTGCTTAGTTGCAATTAATTACCATATTTCGTCAATCAAAGTGTTGATCATCATAATACTATAATTATTTGTCCTTTGGGTTCCCAGTGCAACATAGGAATTCAACTGCCTGTCGCCATCTCACTCTCTTCTCTTCAGTCCTCTTAACCTGGCTACATGACTACCCACCTCCTTTAATTTCTTCCTCACCTCATTTCCTACAAGTCACCCTCACCTACGACGCACAACTCGTCGTTTCCCATTTGGCTTCCACTCGACGGCCTCGCCTGCCCTGGCCTGGCCTGACACACGTTGTCTCCAAACCCTCTTCACACTTTATCTCCAGTCCAACCCAACACAATCCATCTCCACTTTCTTCTCATGCACATTTGTTGGGCGATAGGTTGTTGGTTGCTTCGTCGCCAACCAGCCATCCAGCCAGAGTTACTCGTCGCTGATTCTTATTATTCTGGCCACCTGATCTGATCTGATCTGATCTTCAGTGTCAGTATTGAGTGAGCGAGTGTAGGTGGCAACTGTTGATGTGATGTGTGTGTGTGTGTGTGTGTGTGTAGGTTGTTGGAAATGCTTTTTGTAACGCGTCGCCAAGTCTCTCAACCATCACATACAAGTACTGACTCACTTGACTGACATTAGTAGTGTTGAGAAATCGGATGTTGTTCACGCTTTATGGTTAGTGGAGGGGAGTGAAGTAGATGTCCACACTGATTTCAGATTGATGAATAAAGGTGTGTTTAGCAGTCTTTCCGATGGTGGTTTTGACATCCTCATTTGTTTCGCTGCCTGTAGTTGAAGTGATGCTGCCTAGGAAGGTGGGTAGGTGAGAAAGATAACTTGGTTCAGATTTCTCTTATTGATATTGATTGGTGTTTGTGCTGTTGGTTGTGTATCTTCATCATCATCAAAGTGCTACAGCTTACAGATTTATGTTCTTTGTGAGAGCTATACAATGTTCAATTTATATTAATGTACTAAATGAATCGCAGCAAAACACTTGTGGCATAAACTAGCACATCATAAGAACAGAGATTTGATGTAAACAACACATGATCGGACTCATACTGTTACAAAGGTGATCGTCCACAATGTACACAAATAAGATTAGTGAAGATACCAAAAGTCATTTGAACTATCACAAATTGCTTCCAAGATTAACAAATATTGATATATCTGACTTTATAGCAATGTGTAATCGGAATATTTCACGCAACATAGTAGAAGGACAGCTGAAAAACTGGAAGACGTTTTTAGATTGGAATTCATCATGAACTGACATCAGTTTCAGGGATATTAGAGACCTGGTAGTACTGGACAGTGTTTTCGTCCCACTAGTATGGGACTCTTCAGCAGTGCGCACCCTTGACCCCATCGGGGACCGGACCCGGCACCTTTGGGGTTCCGTGACCAGCACGTCACCAGTGAGCCACTGGGTTGGAATGCAATGATCCATATTTTCTATTGCTGTCAGTTGACGATATAGCGCAACCTACATCCATGTCGCCGTTGAGTGACTGTCTTCATGTTTGACTTGGTCGACTCTACTAGTCACGAACTTTTATTCAAAATACGCTGTACAGTGTTGTATTATGTTAAAAGTAGATTAAAATAATTATTGACATACTTGGAATGCTAAATTGTTTTATTGGATCGAATTTTTCTACCTTTATTGGCATATGGGCTCCTATGCGGATGCCTCGATACTGTCTAAATGTTAATTAGGGCAATTTGTTTGGTTGTGGCTAGTAGAAGTATGTCAATAAATAGCAGTAACTACTACCTGTTGTACAGGAAGTGGCCATCGTTCCTCCGTGGCATAGTGGATAACGCCTTCGCGTTTGAAGCGATAGGTACGAGGTTCGAGTCTCAGTGGGAACAACATCACTCACTGAGGTGCAGCTACATCCAGCTGAGTCCCAAGTAGGATGAAAAGCGCGTCCTGAATCCTCCTGCTAACCACAACCAAACAAATCAGATTAAAATATCTGTATGCTTATAAATTTAGTGTTTAGATTTCAGGTAAACTGAAATTCTAACATTACTTCTGACAGTACAGCTTCAACGTTTGATATGTTCAGGAATTTGATGGGTCAGTCAGTCGAAAATGACAAATAAAAATAAATATTATCGACAATCGTATTTACATCCACATTAGCTACTGGTTCATTATCAATGATATTTTTTACCATTCTAATGATTAAACTCACCTATTTATCATTTTGCTTAGATACTTTAATCCGCATGATTACGTAGTTGCTTCTAATTATATCTAATCTTGTTTGATGCATTGAAAAAACATTTGTTGCCTTGGCCTATATACTATGTTTATGGTTTGAATTTTGTTATCTTAGATTCTGTTGGACTGTGAATTCTAATATTTTCCCTAATCTTCGAAACATTAATTAGTAACTTAAGATTCTTCATATAATGTATGTTAAGATTTCAACGAGTTTCTCATCATGGATTAAAACCATCTTGAAAACCAGCGAAAATCTGTAAGTATTTGATGTATGTTTTGTCCCAGTTTAGAAATCTTCCGAGGTGCACACTGATGATCTCTTAGGGTTTCAAACCCAAGACCATCAGGTATCACGGTGAGCACGATAGTGCTTAGCCACTGAAAATTAAATCTATCGATTCTTGACATATCATGATTATCGTCCAACGTAAGTGGCGAATATTTTACCGTATACCTGACTTGACTGACTCAAATGTCAGGATTTCTCATTTGAACTTTAGAAAGTCTGTCTCAAAGCAATTCACTAGCGAGCATCCAACTGTTATTCAAACAGGAGGTGTGTGGCGAACTAACTCATTGGACGAATGACACTTTACTCGACCGCGAAACCAGAAGGTTTGGGATTCAGTTTTTTACAGGATTATAAATATACACTGTTGAGAAGTCCCTAATTAGTATGAAGTAACTACTTTGAGCATCCAAGTTTTTGATGGTTCTACAATCAACTTCGATTCATGAGAAAAACAGTGTTAAAACCGAAAAATTCCCAGTTAAACCTTCTCATTAAGTAGGTTGGAATCTACCACACTGGTTATTTACTTACTTAATCACGTTTTATG